TTATGGTTTAGTCCTGGTTTAGACCTGGTTTTAGTCCTGTTTAGTCCTGGTTTAGACCTGGTTTAGTCCTGGTTTAGTCCTGTTTAGTGGTTTAGACCTGGTTTACCTGGTTTAGTCCTGGTTTAGTCCTGGACCTGGGTTGGTTTACCTGGTTTAGTTTACCTGGTTTAGTCCTGGTTTAGACCTGGTTTACCTGGTTTAGTAGACCTGGTTTAGTTTAGACCTGGTTTAGACCTGGTTTAGTTCCTGGTTTTAGACCTGGTTTAGACCTGGTTTAGTCCTGGGTTTAGACCTGGTTTAGTTTTCCTGGTTTAGTCCTGGTTTGGACCTGGGTTTAGACCTGGTTTAGTGTCCGGCAATGAGTGGAACTACAGAAAAAAAAGGGATATCGCCAAAATGTGAAAACAGTAAAATCCCTCTGTTTAATCCATTTATTTCAACAACGTAACTGTAATCCAATTACCACTCACTGAAACTGTAACTGTAACTGAATACAGTTACTCATCATTTGTACTCTGATTACATAACTCCAGTACATGTAATCTGTTACTCCCCGACACTGGCCGATCTCCAGCTCAATTCAACAATTTATGACTGCAAAGTGACGAATTTGTGTGTGTGGCATTTCCTCTTCTTCCTAAATATGCATTGAAACTGAGAACTTACTTTGGTTGAACTTATCTGTGTGCGTTGGCCTTTTCACAAACGAAAATCATAAAAATCCGAACACAGAAACAGTCAGAGTGACAGACACCTCACAGATTGTCTCAGATTAACTGTCTGCAACTATAAACCAATTTTCAACGCATTATCTGAGGAAATTCAGTCTCAGACGCTACACTGAGTCTGATCATAACAGAACTTCTCTTATTAACCCTTTTCATACACTGTTGATGCTCTTTAGTGCTCAAATTTACACTATTTTGCTTGTTTCCATTGCATTTGGTTTGCATTTTTGTTTGTATTCCAGTTGCACTTTTTTTTTTCTTGCAGTGAGTTTAAACGGTTTAAACAAATTACCAAAACTGTCATCCTCTTTTCACGTTAAATATTACGAGATTGCAAAAATAAAGCGGTCCGGAGCTATAAACATGATCGCTTTTAACGCACTTCGGGGTTGCCAAAAACAAATGAACGAAAGATATGAGAAGGGAACAGAAAATATGTAAATGTAAATTTGATTTAATAGTCTTAAAAATGTAAATACAAACATGCAAACACTGCGTTGAGAAACTCTGTACTACACACACCCTCCCCTTTTTTTTAATTTTATTATTATTATTTATGTATTTTTTGTAAGCGTGTTAGTTTTATATTTTGTTATGTCTGTCTTGTTGTGGATGTGCTGGGTATCCAATCCCTCAAACTTGATAAATTATTTAAAAAAAACAACAACAAAAAAACATGATCACCTTTGTTGTTTTAGTTTTAGTTTTATTTATTTAAAAGGGACAATGCATATTCATGAACATATACTTGTAAATACGCCAGAATTAGCCCGAAGTTACTTTTCATCTGTCGTCCCTGGCAGGTCAGAGAGACAGAGACATAAAACATAAAATATAAGAACATAAAACAAAAGAACATAAAACGCGTCACAATAGACAAACACACAAGCATGACACTGACATTTACAGAGGAGCAGAACATTAGTGGTTACAGATCTGGTTTCTCTTAAGCCGTCGTTTCAGATTAGTTTTAAATGAACTGAAAGTGATGGAATCTCTGTCTTGTTATTTACGTTCGTGGTGGTAGGTTTTGCTCTTTTCTCGGACCAAGCGTGTAGATCTTTGGCTGAAAAAGGTTGGCGTCACCCAGTGCCTTCGCTCAATTTCATTTCTCTCCAGAGATTAGGTCAAGAATCAGAATACACTAGACCTTGGGTGTCAAACATACGGCCCAGGGGCTGGATCCGGCCCTCCAAGACCTTTAATCTGGCCCTCGGCTCATTTCCTACTAAAATATTTTAATTGATATTTTCTATTAAAATCTTGTTAATTTTCTGTGGTGTTTATCACAGCAGCGTCTCCAGCGTCTCTGTACGTGGCCCCTCCCACCAGAGCAGCACAAATGAAGACTTGTCTCTTTCCAAACGCTCTTAAAGGACGATCGTTTTGACTGTTGACCGTGACACCCTCATCAGAAAAATGTCCAACAGTGAGAAAAGAAAAATTGGACTTATTCCTATTTACAGACAAGTTCATGTTAAAACTTTGTGTTGAAATTGCATTTTTCTTAAAGTTTCAGGTTGTTCATAATATTATAATATTTTGTAAAAGAAAGAGTTCATCAATTAAAAAAAGATTTCTGTAATAGATTTGTGTTTCTCTGCACAAATATTTGAACTTATTGTTATTTTTGGGGTTTATATGACATGAGTTTTCTGATCCGGAACCTTTGGGATCAAAGTCGGTTGGATACGACCCCCGGAACAAAATGAGTTTGACACTCCTGGGCTAGATGGTTTGCAAAAACCCCGGAAGTGTGAGTTCGGGCACCAGGCAATCAGCAACGAGCCGTACATTCTGTGTTGTCAACGATTCCAGAGATCAAGGATTTAAAGCCAGAACAAAAAGAATGTTTGGTCAATTTTATCAAGGGGAAAGACGTTATTGTTCTTCTTCCTACAGGATTTGCCGCATTACATACGTCACGACCAAACAGCAGCGATTGGTTAAAAAAAAAAGTATCCACCTACCGTCGAGTGAATGAATCCTAATGCTGCGAGGTCACACGTTTTCCACAAAGTGAAACCGGCTGATGAATCAGACTAGGTGACCATTGCCTGAGCCTATAGTACAGCCTTTTCTGACCACAGTGATGTACGTATTTCACCCGTACATCTAAAACTTTTACTATCACAAATACAGAAAATCTGGAAAAAAAAAAAAAGATGAATAAACCGAAAACAAAAGATACAACAGAAGAGAAAGTATTTAAATGCAAATTATATTATTATAATTATATTATATTATATTACATATTTTTACTTTGTTGTTGTTTTTTGTATGTGTGTTGGTCTTATGTTTTGTTATGTCTTATGTTTATTTTGTTATTAATGCGCTGTGTATTCATTCCTTCAAAATGACTAAAATGATAAAAAAATCATAACATAAAATCATATGATCATAACAGCCTTCCGTCACAATCTTTCTTCATTTTAATATTGAAAGAAGAAAACTATTTACATTCTGAATCAACTATATAATTAAAGATGCGTTGTGTAACTTTTTGTTAAATTTACTTTACATTTATTCAGTTACAGGTGTTTTTATTGCTCAAAAAAACTAGAAAAACAGGTATTCTGACTGTGAGCGGGGTCGCCTCTCCACAGATCTGACTTGTAACTTGGTCTGGTTTGGTCTCCATGAAGATAAAAAAAGGTTTAATCAAATGAAACGGAAAACACACACCAAAGTTCTTGTAACACTCAGATGGCCGATGTCCAAAAGCTTTTTTAAAATTTTTAAATGACGTTTCGGCAAAAAAGGCTTCATCAGATCATTTTTCTTATTTGGTTTTCGACCACAAATATATTGTGGTCCAAACCAAATAACCAAAACGTTTTTTAAAAATTTAGGAAAAGCTTTTGGACATCGGCCATCGGAGTGCGCTGTGCGTTTTTTCACTTTTATAGAAAGGTTCAATACCTGCACTGTAAAACCTCACAGACAAAGCAATAACATCTCCAAGAAGAAAAGTTACACAATGCGCCTTTAATGACCAAGACAAGCATAACAGTATTTTTAACCATCAAGTACTGGATTAGTAGTAGTACACAGTGTAAAATGAAGTACATTTAGCAGCAGTGGCAGGAGTGTAGTAGAGTTTTTGTTGTAGTAAATCCAACTAAGAATCTGGTAGGTGTAGAATTGGCAGCACCAGTGGCTTATCTTTGCTGATAGTGAGACATTCCTATAGCCTATATTCTAAAAATAATGTTTGATTAAAGCTTTAGTTGGCCTATTATACACTGTTCTGACTGAACTGAAGAAAGCTGAAATAATAAAGAATAAAAAATGAAAAAACTCCCACTGAACAAAACCCCCCCCCCCCCCAAAAAAAAACCCAACTCCTACTGAACACACTCCCATTGAAATATTGAAATAAAAAAAACTCCCATTGAGTAAATATGAAACAAAACAAAAAAACTCCCATTGAAGCACCCACTGAAACTGCAAAAAACCCCAAAAAACTCCCACTTAACAAACTCCCACTGAAATGAAAAACTCTCATTGACCAAATCTCTCAAAAAAAATTCCCACCGATCAACTCCCATTGAACAAACTCCCCTTGAAATGAAAAACTCCAACTGAACAAATCTCCAATAAAAGCTCCCATTAAACAAGCTCCCATTGAAACACCCACTAACCTCCCATTAAACCAAGTATTATTGAAAGACCCACTAACCTCCCGTTACACAAAACTCCCAAAAACCCACTGAAACCCCCCCCCCCCCCCAACAAAAAAACAAAAAAAAAACAAAAACAAACAAACAAAAAAACTCCCATTGAACAAATCTCCCACTGAAATGAAAAACCAATGGGAACAGGATTTGATTCATTATAGTTATTTTGCTTTAGTTATTATTTTATTTATTTCTTTTTATTTTTTGTCATTAGTATAGAGTGACCATATTAAAAAAAATTAAAAATGAAAAACTGGGACATCCCCAGTTTATGGTGGTTGGTAATAATAAAATTGTAAAATGAGTGTTTAATTAAGGAAAACTGTTCTGCACTAATGTGAGTCAGTATAGTCACATTTTCTTTGCGTTTTGGTCGTTTTTAAGCAGCTTTTCTGTATTTTACCTAAACAAATGACAATTTATGCCTCTCTTTACTGTCAGATTGGTTAAAATTATTATTATCGCATTTCAGCTCACACTCCTTATCAGTTGGTGGCGGTAGTGCACCATTACAGCTCCACTCAAAGACGAAGAAGAAGTTAACCAATGGGATCGCGGTCTGTCCGGGGCGCGAGACTTGAGTCCGGAAGTAGTTTGTAGTAGTTTGTTTACCTTTTTCATCGAACCTAAATTTGAACTTTCTTTTACATTTTTGGGGATTTTTACATTTCGTTTGGCGATAATAATGTCTTGTCCCGAATCTAACATCACATCGTTGGAAAAAGGCGACATTTTACACCAGCAAGGTAAGATCGCCGTATGATTATTCTACTTAAATTGCGTTATAATGTTTCGTAAAGAGTTTTTATTGATTCGTTTTTATTTCGAGTTTGTGCCAAGAGAGAAACAATAATCATAAAAATACTACATAACCATTGTAAACACCAGAAAAGCACATTTCTCGAAAAGGAGTGGAAAGAAGAAAAACTTATATTAACCCACGTTTGTTCATGACATAGTTTCAACAATTATGAGGTTTCTTAAACACGAAACTTTACTAATATTTACATTAGAGTGACCAGATTTTAAAATTATAAACTGGGATACACCCGGGTTGGGATGTTTGGTATAAATAAAATTAAATTGTAGATTCTCCAGTCATAATCTGAGGGACTTCTATCGCTGCATTTTTAATTTAGTTTAAGTTTTGTACTTTATTGTCATTTGCAAACACAGTTTTCTGTTTTTTGCCTTAACAAATGACAATTTATGTTCCTTTTTACTGTTGGCAGGGATCAGATTAGTCAAAAATTGTGATAGTCCTGGTTTAGTCTCAGTTTAGTCCCGGTTTAGATCAGATTGGTCAAAAATAGAGACATTACTTGTATAAAACTGGAACAAATCACTTTTTTTTGTGTGTAAATCTGCTGGGACAGGGGACACAGGGCTCAAAACTGGGACTGTCCCGGGTAAATAGGGACGTCTGGTCATCCTAATTGACATATAAAATAAAATATAAACACTCTGCGTACTTAATATAATTTTAACTCAAGTGTTTTTCTTTTTTTTGTATTGTACCGCATTATTTTTTCATCTAAATTATTATTATTAATTAATTATTATTATTATTATTATTATTCATTTTAAAATTATTTTTATTTATATTATTTTATTTTTCTAGATCACCCAGTCACTCACCCTTATACCACGAATGCTAAAACTCTTTATAATTTCTTTTGGGCACTGCATCAGGTTTTCTCTCAACCCACTCCACAGACTGACACACACACACACCGATACATACACACAGATACACACGAGCTTTTCCTGGTGGTTGTCTCCATTTTTGTTTTAAATTTACCCCTTCCCCTTAATTCATAGTTTACTTCTTATGTAATGAAGAGTTTTTGGATATTAGACTTAGACGTTAGACTTTATTGATCAACAAGGGAAATTATCTGGACACAGGAGTTCATACATCACAATAAAATATAATAACAAACAGTAAAAAATATAAATGGTAATAATAAATCCTAAATAAGTAGCAAAAAAGTAAATATTGAATGGCAGTATATTTTTGTTTGTTTTATACAAAATCAAAGCGGTGTAGAATTTAACTAAATCAAAAAAAATTTATAATTTTGATTTAAAAAACAAGTCGTTTGTGTGATTCAAGTCAAGATAAATTTAGTTCAGGTCGAATCAAACTGAATAATTATCATATTACGCAGAAGTTACCTTGCCAAAATAAAACATGCTTTTCTTAAACGGATCTCGCGTGTCCTATTGTGAATTTCTTTTGTGTTTGCGTGACTTCTCATCTTCACAGTTCTGGCGTCGTTTCCTCTCTGTGACTTGACCGAAGAGGATCTCAGCCAGAACCCTCAGTTCTGTAAACTCCTGTCCACTCTGACGCAGCATGTGGACTCCACTGGACTCACGCTGACACTCAAGACGGAGCTGGAGAAGGTAATGAAAGTCCAGATGTCCCTGTTTACCTGGGACGGTCCCAGTTTTGAGCCCTGTGTTCCCCTGTCCCTGCAGATTTATCCAAAACCAGTGATTTGTCCCAGTTTTTTTTTTTCATTTGTATTTTATTGTCTTTTCACAATGTGGATTTACATGATAATTAAGCAAACAAAGTAATTTACAAATTGTCCATATTAAGTCAAATCTGGATGTCCAATGTCCATAGTTAGGCATTTCTACATTTCTCATTTCTACTTGCACAAACTGTAATGTAACTTTCATAAGAACAGGTAATTAATAAAAAAATAATAATAATTGATAAATAAAATAAAACATTGTAGCTTTAAACCAGGGTGTAAGTTCAGTCTTTGTTATCCAGACAATCGTACAGGTTCTACACAAAGTCAGATCTATGCTGTTCCTTTCCAGATTTTTTTAAATTTATGACCTTCCAATCTAAGTGAGGCATTGAGTTTTTCCATATTATAAATACTTAATATTATATCAAACCACTCTTCTATTTTAGGCCTCTGATCACTTCGCCATCTCCTGGTAATCGCTTTGATTTGTCCCAGTTTTATACAAAAAGTGCCTCTATTTTTGACCAATTTGATCCCTACCAACAATAAAAGGAGGCATAAATTGTCACTTGTTGAGGTAAAATACAGAAAAACTGCTTAAAAACGACCAAAACACAAAGAAAATGTTACGATACTGAACATGAATGGGCCGAGCGCAGAACAATTTTCCATAATTACACACTCGTTTCACAGTTTTATTATTAACAACCGCCACAAACCGGGAATGTCCCAGTTTTTGATGTTGAAAATGTGGTAAAATTTGGAAATTATCACATTCAAAAACACTCATTAGGCCTTTTTGTCATTGATTAGAGCAGGGGAGGACAATTCTTTTTTCCATGGGGCCACATGAGAAACAGAAAATATTGGGGATTAACTCAATTCTGCAGAATATAAATTATATTTCTTTATAAAACTCACGGTGAGGCGTCTTTTAGCGTTTACGGCCCCCGTTTGTGGGACAGTCGACCTGAGGATCTGAGGTCTGCTGCGAGTGTTCATATTTTTAAAAGTAAACTCAAAACGTATCTTTTTAATTAAGCTTTTAATTGAAACTTTAACTTGTTTTAACTTATTATTATGGTTGTTATTACTATATTTGTTTTACATGAAATTATCATTACCATTTTACTTAGTCTCCATCTGATCTTAGCTCACCATTTTTATTCTTACTCTAACATTTAGGAGCTTTATGTTTTTGTTTAAATTGTTGTTTATATGGATGAAACAGGGTGGGGTGGGGAGTTGCTGCTGTTTTTAATTATTATATTGTAATTTTTCTGTTGCCTGTGAAGCTCTTTGTGCTACATTTCAAATGTATGAAAAGTGTTATACAAATATAGTTTGATTGATTGAGTGATTGATTAAAAAAAGCCGTAAATATCGTTGTTTTGACGAGCTGCTCAGACTGGTAAGAGTTTACGTTACGACGAAGCAATAAAAAAATGAAAAAGTCTTACAAAAAATGTTTAAAAACACGTCTAAAATAAAAGCAATGCAGTTTTAGTCCATGCATGAGGTAAAATATAAAATATGTTTATTTTGTAAACCGGCTGGTCAGAGTCAGACAAAGCGAACCAAAGTAGAGCAATAATTCTTATCAAAGTTAATATTTAATTCATCAAATCTGTGGTACTTCATTTTGAAACTGTAAAATGAGGAAGTATTTAAACGTATCCTCCTCTTATCTCTCACAAACCCTTTTGCACATCACTATTATTCACATGCATGGATTTCTGTTTGCGTGTACATAGGGGTGTGCAAAAATATCAAAATATCAATATATCGTATCGTTTAATTTGATGATACAGTATCGATATTGTGGGCTACTGTATCGATATATCGCCGAGAGCATTTTTTGGTGTAATTTACTAAATTATTTAGTTACAGTGCTACAGTTTAGTTGCTTGGAAACTCGTTTATGCACATTTTCAGTGTTTTGATGAGTAAAATGGGCTTTTCTCAAATTACCTTTGCGCAAGAAATTATTTAACAAAGACTTTTATTGTCACAGCCATGATTTAGCCATTATTTTTTATTGAACTGTATCAAATCGTTTTGAAATATATCGTATCGAATCAAATGTGCACTGTATCGAGACGTGTATCATATCGTGGCCTGTGTATCGAGGTATGTATCGTATTGCCAACTTCTTAATGATACCCAGCTCTATGTGTACAGTTTTAGAATAGTTTTTTCAGACGGAAAAGAGGAGCTGGCCGGACTGTCATCACGCAACCTGTTCACTCTCAGCACAAAACTGTTCTATTTATCCTTGGTTTGTGATCATTAAAATGTTTTAGAAGAATATGAAGACAGCACTGTAGTAACTGTAATAAAATGTATGTTGGTCTAGTTAAGATTAGAGGTGTGCAAAAATAGCTAAAAACTGATATATCGTATCATTTAATGTGATGATACAGAATCGATATTGTGGGCTGCTGTATCGATATACCAAAAAATACTCTTGGAGATATATTTTACTAAATTGTTTTGTTACAGAGCTACAGTTTTGTTGCTTGTTTAGAGGAAGGAAACTTGTTTTTGTGACACATTTGACATTTTCACTGTTTTGATGATTAAAATTAAAATGTGTTTCATATTTACTTTGCACAAGAAGAAGTGGTTTAACAAAAACTTTTAGTATCACAGCCTCGATTTAGCCTTTATTTTTTATTGTACCGTATTGAATCGATATTATGAATATATATCTGAATGTATCAATAATGATGTTTAACTTCTTGGTTCTTTTTAAATCAATGTCAAGTTTACCTTGTTTGACATGTTTGCTGTTACTGCTGCATGCAGAATTGCCATGATTTGCATTGAATCGGCATCATGCAATCATCATACAAAAAATTCAGGAATGTCAAAAAGAAGAACAGCAGGAAATCCGCCATATAGACCATGTAAAAGGAACAACCACAGGAGGGAGCTCGGGTCAGGTCGGAAAACAACAAATTGGATGGACGATGAAATCAGGAAATGGCACGGACAGCATTAACCGTGATGACGGCGCGTTCACACACCTGGGACACCTCCTCCTGTGGTCAGTCTGACACCTGCAGGTCATCTGACCACGCAACAACAGCTGATATACGACACCTAGTTCAACACTTGACATCACACATGTCAACAGGAACACACTGCACTGCATTGTCTTTAAAAAGAACCCAAGTAGTTAAAGTATAAGAAGACAAAATGAACATCTTTTGCTTGTTTATGTCAAGTTTATTTCTTACTTTAATATGTTGTTTATGTTGGTGTGATCTCACCTTAAAACACTTGTGCGTCCCATTTACACACTCAAACTGTCTACCAAGTCCTGATTTGGGGTTGAGTTTTATTTGTTATCACATTTTAATCACATCACATTTGAATCTTTCTGTCCAGGCTGAGCAGAAGCTGCAGAGTCAGAGGAGGAACTGGCTTCAGTCTCAGGGCCTTTTCCAGACGCTGAAGGAGATGATCCAGGAGCACTGCGTCAAAAAGCACCACTCCATCGTCCCGCCCGACAGGAATATGGTACACGCTCTCACCGCATACCGTAAAACATCTGTATTTTTATTTCATTTTGATTTCATTTGTGTCGTTCGTGTCTGTACAGTTTTACGAGACGATGGAGAAGTGTCTGCTCGTGGCTCGGTGCGTTCGAATGTTGGATCCGAGCGACACCACGGAAAAGGAGCTGCCCAATATCCTGGGGCTGGAACCTGAACACGTGCTGCAGCTGATGCCTCTAGAGAAAGTAAGACACGTGTTTTTTATGTTTTCGTTATTGTTTAGGCTTCATATTAATTCGTAAATGACAATTCGTAAAAAAACAAAAACACGTAAAAAGCGTGCTGTGCGTTTTCCTTGCGTTTGCGCCTCTGCAAGAACTTTGGTGTGTGTTTTCTGTTTTATTTAAAGTATTCTAAACTTAAATTTGATACTCTTTCCTAACAAACTACTACACCATTCACTTCGGTCTTACTCTTTTGTAGAACGTGCAGAGAATGAAGCAAAGTTTGCCCCATGAGCTGGAGAAACATCTGAAGAAGAAGTGTCTGAGCCTCCTCTGTTACTACCATCCTGAGTGGGGTATGGATGGACTTCTTTGAACAATTTAGTGTCTTTTTTTTTTTTAACCAAATGTTTATTGGTTTTTAATATAACAAATAAACAATACACAAACCAACATAACAGGTCCAGGACAAAATTAAATAAATAAAAGATTAGTGCTCATCAATATCTACCACATTAAGACACTTAAAACACTTAAAACACACTTAGACAAACTTAAAACAACAATACTACTCAGCCGCTCAATGATCTAATATATGCCTCATAACAAGGAGGTTTTAAGATCAGATATTGTTTTTTTTTTTTTTTTTTGCATTATGGATACACGCTGTGGACAATTCTAAACAGGCAATGTCCATAAATGAAAGTACCCATTGGCGATGTGATAAAGAATGAGTGTGTTTCCATCTAACAGCAACCTTTTTTTTAGCAGCTGTAAGGCCAGCCAGAAAAACCTTTTCTTGCTCTCTACTCAAGCCAAGCAGAGACATATCATTAAGAATCAATTTTAGTGTCTTTTTTTATTCATTCATTCATTTTATTTGTTTGAACAAGGTATAAGAATATTAACAATAACAAAAAAAACAACAAGGATATGTACATGAACGTATTTGAAACCTGATGCTCAAAAGGAGTAGACAGGATGGCGCCACCTAGTGCGTCTGCTCAATTTCATTTCTCTCCAGTGACTAGATCAGGAATCAGAATACAATAGATGATTTGCAAGAATCCTGGAAGTTGTAGATCGCGCCCCAGCCAATCAGCTGTGAGCTGTGAAGCAGTGACGTCAAACTCGTCGTGGCGTCTGTCTGTGTCCCTTTTGTGGAACAGCACAACAGTAAACAAAGCGTCGAGATGGATGTAGACGAAGACAGACATTCTGTCTTGGCAACGATTCCCAAAATCGAGGATTTAAAACCGGAACAAAGAGAATGTTTGGTGAATTTTATCAAGGGGAAAGACGTTATTGTCCTTCTTCCTAAGGGATTTGGCGCATTACAAATGTCACGACCAAACAGCAGTGATTGGTTAAATTAAAAAAAAGTACCCGCCTACCAACGAGCGAACGAATCCTAACGCTGTGAGGTCACACGGTTTACACAAAGTGAAACTGACTGATGAATCAGGCTACAAAAGGAGTAGGATGATGTTTAAAAAACTTAGTGTCCTACCCCAATTGTTTTATATAATCATGTGATTGACTTTTTTTTTTAACACCTTTGGAGTGCTTACCTGTTGTATTCCTTGCATAAATAAACACAGATACATACATACAATATAATAGTTTATGGTCGTACAAATTAAAAATAATGTTAAAGTAGGCGCAAAATGTATTGTTTATGATCGTACAAAATAAGCAGTAATGAGAATAAAAAAAATTTAAGGATTTTTTTTGTTTTTGTTTATGCTCGTACAAACTAATAACAGGTTTCTGGAAAAGTCATGGAAATTGAAAATGTCATTTTCCAGGCCTGGAAAATTCATGGAATTTTGTAAATTCAGTCAAAGTTTTGGAAAAGTCGTGGAAGTTTATTATGTCTTTCACACAACTCCAGCGTTCTGTTAAGTTTTCATGAGACTTTTCTGATTATTTCTGAACGTCTGCGCCTTTTGTTTAAAAGAAACGACAATAAATCCACTGACAGGATTTAAAATGTTAAAAACTATAATCCCAAACCATAAGGTGAGTGGAAAGAGTTCACATTTCAGATTTAGTAGGTGCTGTAAAGTCATGGAAAAGTTTTGAAATGTTGTCAGTGAAAAAGAGTAGGAACCTTGTAATAAAAGTGATGAAGACGGCATTAAAGTTTATCGTTTATGAATGAAAAAAGTGAAGATTTTGGTTTTCATTTATGATCGTACAAACTAATACTAATCATAACGAAGGCAAACCTAAAGTAACTATGGTTTATTTTATTTCATCTTGTAGAAAACGAGAGCGAGAATCTGAAGTGCACTAAACTGATGCACCTGTCGAAACAAGTGGCCAAAGACAAGAAGAGCGCAGAGAGTCTGAAGGAGCGCTGTCGGGAAAACAAAATCCTGCTGCAGAGACAGACTCAGCTTTATCTCTCCGTGAGTTTACAGGAATTCAACACATAATTCACCTACGATTGATTATTTGACCGTCAGTATAACAACAATAATGTGTTTGTGTTTACCCCAGGAGCTGGTTAAATGCATTAAACTCCTACAAACTCTCATCCTGGATCACAGACTGAAAATTCAGACGGATTTGGATAAGAAAAAGTTGGAGTACTTCGAGGGCAAATGTGAACTGGTGCTGCAGAAGATCAAGTGAGAACATTTTGTGTTTTTGTACATGCACATTAGACTCGCTAGGGTCGGGGAAGTAACCAAAAACAAACAAAAAAACGAGGTGGAGAATAGAATAAATTCAGTAATGTTTAATTAACAGGAATATGAAAGGTAAATAAAAAAAAACAGGCTAAAATATGCACAGAAAATAACCTAAACTAAGAAATAAAATAACAGGATTAACATTTTCTGCCAAAAACGAGTCACGCAGGTCTACACAAAAACAAATAATTAAACTAAGGGACACACAACAAAACTACATTTATTTATTTATTTATAAGAGATGCCCCTTGAGACATAGCATCTTGTTTGTGAGGGGGTTCGAAATACATGAACAAAAATGATATTTACAGAAAGGAAAGAAAAAACTAAATTAAATTAGGGGTGTCAAAATCGCGTTAATTGCGATTATTAATTACAGTCATATTTACGTTATGTTTTTTAATCGCGTTAATCTCATTTTTAATCTCTAACTTTACTGTTTCTGTATGTGAGTTGCTTTATTTATAAAATCTATTTTTTATGTGTTGTTGGGACAACAAAACACACACAAAAACACATTTATACATTTTTTTATTTCGGTAATTCCACTCATTGACGGAAACCCACACAAAACGTGCGCAGTAAGAGCGATGTAAACGTCATGTTAACGTTGGCGGCGTCAGTCGCACATTGGACGAGGTGGAAGAGCCAGTAGAACAGAGGCAGCAGTGCACAGGGAAAACACATTTGTGTCTTGGAAATTATTCTCCCGACGTAAAATATAAAAGAAAATAACAAATATAATATCGCCTGAAAACAACCTGCATAGACTCATGATGTCTGCACTACTGTCCTATACACACACACACACACACACACACAACACACACACACACACAAACACACACACACACACACACACACACACACAAACACACACAAACACACATAAACACACACACACACACACACACAAACACACAAACACACACACAACACACACACACACACAAACACACACACACAAACACACACACACACAACACACACACAACACACACAAACACACACAAACACACACACAAACACACACACACACACACAAACACACACAACACACACACACACACACACACACAAACACAAACACACACAAACACACACACACAACACACACAAACAAACACACACACACACACACACACACACACACACACACACACACAAACACACAAACACACACACACACAAACAACACACAACACAAACACACACAAACACACACAACACACACAACACACAAACACACACAACACAAACACACACAAACACACACAAACACAAACACACACAAACACACACACACACACGCACACAAACACACACAAAACACATAAACACACACAAACACAAACAACACACACCTTCATCATCGTCATTAACCGTGAACGCGTGGACCACGTTTCCTCCGTAGTTACTGCGTGGACACAGACCTGCTCCCGTGAGCCGCGTGTGGATCGTGTTTTCTCGCGTACGCGGCGTAAACCGAGCTTCCTCCTGTGAACCTCTAAACCAGAACTAACACCAAGACTAAAACCAGGACTAAACCAGGACTAAACCAGTCCAGGACTAAACCAGGACTAAACCAGAACTAAAACCAGAACTAAAACCAGGTCTAAACCAGGTCTAAACCAGGTCTAAACCAGGACTAAACCAGGACTAACCAGAACTAACACCAAGACTAAAACCAGGACTAATCCAGTCCAGGACTAAACCAGGACTAAACCAGAACTAAAACCAGAACTAAAAACCAGGTCTAAACCAGGTCTTAAACCAGGTCTAAACAGGACTAAACCAGGACTAAACCAGAACTAAACCAGAACTAAAACCAGGACTAAACCAGGATAAACCAGAACTAAAACCAGAACTAAAACAGGATTAATCCATTCAGGACTAAACTAAGACTAAAGTAGGACTAAAGCAGGTCTAAACCAGGAGTAAAACAAGGACTAAAACCAGTGATCTCATATCTAAAGCATTTCTCTATCAATAATATTTTTAATATGGTTAAGGAAAGACTGGACTTTTATTGTCTTTAAGTCGACAAAAGTTATTATGTTATTATATTATTATATTTTGATCTGCCACAATAATGTAATAATAAATTTAAATGAAAATACCTCAAATTGAAGCTTTTCTCAGCAATTTTTTAGATGAGATTAAAATGAGATTTAATGGGATTAATTAATTACAGATCATAATTAATTAATCTCTCAATTTTTTTTAATCGCATGACAGCACTAATTAAAACAAAACAAAAGACAAACACAACACACTGACAACATTCATACTGTACAATTCAGGATCCTAAGATACACATCTCTCCTGTATTTGTAAACTATATGAGAACTTTCAACATTGGCAGCATTTTCTGAAGCAGTGATTTTCAACTCGTGTGCCGTGAGAAATGATCCAATATCACTTTTTTAAAATTAAAATTAATTAATTATTACCTGCAAATATTATGTCATTGTCGAGTGTCCGTGCTGTATTTACTACAGCACGGACACTATACTACAGTGTTGTATATAATGACTGACAGTGATCTAAATTCGTCCGGGTGGCAACAGGCAGCTAATGGCCTCGTTCCTTTAAAAGAATTAGTAACACATGTGCGTGGTGACAGTCATGGAGAAGTTTTGAAAACGGACGAATGCAAACTCCGAACTGGGCCCTGGACAAGATTCTGACCCAGAAGAAGAGCGTTTCAAGATTAACTGCTATAAAAACTAAAAACAGAGAGAGACTGAGAGCTTCGTGTGTGTCTTTCTTCTATTCCTGCCAGGATATCAGCTTTGTGTTCATCTAAACAGGCGCAGGTCTCACACTGAGGAAGTAGAAATTAATGTAGAAATTATATTGTAATTAAATATACTGTATAGTGTCATTTTGTAACATTTTGGTCAGTGGTGTGCCGCAAGATTTTTCCAATGTAAAAAACGTGCCGTGGCTCAAAAAAGGTCGAAAAACACTGAACTAAACCTTTAAAACACTGGTTATTCAATGGTCAAATATGTCGCCATGTTTAACCAATTTATATTTTCTTTTATTTTGAAGGGTTGTTGGTTTAACTCTTGGTTTAATTCTTAAACTTTTGACTTTGAACTTCAAATGAACTGTTTGAAACTAATTGTGTGTACGGTGAGTGTGTTGTGTGTATAGTGAGTGTGTTGTGTGTAGTGAGTGTGTTGTGTGTGTAGTGAGTGTGTTGTGTGTACAGTGTGTGTGTGTGTATAGTGAGTGTGTTGTGTGTACAGTGAGTGTGTTGGTGTTGTTGTACTTTTGTGTGATTGTTGCTGTACTTTTCCTCGTCCTGTAGATGATTTTACATCGACCTGCCGAGGGACTGAAGATGGAAATGAGCCACGTTGGCTTTAATCTTTACATATTTACATTTTTATTGTTCGTTAATATGTACTGTCCCTTTACAGATTCATAAAATAAGAAGAAATAAGAAATGAATGAAGAACAAAAGCAACTCTATGTACAACAGGAAGTACATAGAACAAAAATGTATTTAGTAGGATGTTATCACAAGTAAAGGGATGAAACCACAAACACAATCAAAATATAGGTAGCACTTTATAATAACTCCTCTTTATTAAGCATTTATTAAGCATTATTTAATACATTTGTTAATCATTAGTAAACTGTTAACTCTTAATTATTTCTTAACCTATTCTAACTACCATGTACAAGTGCTTAGTAACTGATCAATACCGGGGAATAACCCCATTAAGAAATGAGTAACAAATCATTAGTTGAGTATGTGGGTTAAGAATTTGATAAATTTGGGTGTAACAATGCTTTTACATATTAAAAGTTGATGAGTAGTAATGAATTAGTAATGATTTACTAATGATGACTAAAGACATTAAATAATGTGTTTACTAATGATTAAATCACATGAAAAAATGAAGAGGTAAGTGTGAACAAATGATGAACCAGTGTGTTAAATAATGCTTAACAAAAGGCTGTAAGATGACTTCTTCACCATTAACATATATATACATAACAAAGCATTAACATAAACATCTATAAATGATTAACTGATGAGAAATAATTAAGAGTTAACAGTTTACTAATGATTAACAAATGTATTAAATAATGCTTAATAAATGCTTAATAAGGAGGAGTTATTATAAAGTGCTACCAAAATATAAATATAAATTATATTAATATACAATATAAAATAAAATAAAAATATATATAAATAATATATCATATGAAATAAAAAGGCACAACACAGAACTAAACTAAACAAGTGTCTCAACACAAAAAAAGTCAGACACCTGTACAAAAAAACAAGTGACTGACACCAAAGAGACAAACACAAAAACACAAAATGGCAGCGCGGCCCCCGAGACCAACATCCCTGGAAATGTCCTTAAATAAGAGGCGGTGTCTGCAGGTGAGGCGGGTTTGAACTCAGACTTGAACTTTAACAGCTGCATCAAATCAATAACATCTGCAGCCTTTTACCATCTAAAAAACAGAGCAAAAATCAAAGGTTCAGAGTCTAAATCAGACTTGGAGAAACTTATCCATGCGTTTGTCTCCAGTAGGTTAGATACTGTAATGTTCTGCTCACTGGTCTCTCCAAACGAGCTGTGAGACGCTGCAGAACATCCAGAACATCCAGAACGCTGCAGCTCGGGTCCTGACTCGAACTAGGAAGTACGAGCACATAAGTCCTGGTCTCAGGTCTCTGCTCTGGCTCCTGTGCCTCAGAGACTTTAAAGCAGCTCTGTTTGTACAAGTGTCTCCATGGCCGAGCACCAAAGTCCATCTGTGACATGTTAGTGTCATATGAACATCTCACACTCTGAGGAGCTCAGGGACCAACTCCTGCTGGTGCCCAGAGTCACGACTAAACAAGGGGAGTCAGAGTTTCAGGTTCATGCAGCTAAAACCTGGAACAGTCTGAACATGTGAGACAGACTCTTCTGTGACGCTGTTTAAATCCAGACTCTAAACATTTCTGTTTAACTGTGCAAATAACTGAAAGGTTTTCATTCCTGCACTCTTCTCTCCAATTTATGTCTCTCTTTTTTAATTTTAATCTTCATGATTATTTATGTTTTGATTTGTTTTTAATGTATTTCTTATTCTGTAAAGCACTTTGAATTACTTTGTGTACGAATTGTGCTGTACAAATAAACTTGCCTTGTGAGCGTAAACAAGCTCCACCAATCACAGAGCAGGACTCCCACAGCAGGAATCAGAACAGCTCAGAAAAATAAATGAAAACACACAAAACGAGTCAGAACTGGAGGCCCTGTTCCATAACAACATTATGATTGTTAAACTTATTTTCTTTTTCTTCTGAAGGACGGAGATGGTCGAGATTCAGCTGGACACTTACACACCAGACGCAATATCTGCCCACAGAAAAATAAGGTCACTCAATTGAACACCGGCATCTTTATACTCAAAACATTACTGAGTCTACGTCGTTCTAAAACTGTCTCGTTGTTGTTGTTGTTGCAGAGAGAAACTGGAGTCCGAGCTGAAGTTCCGTCAGGAGGAGAAACAGTCCGTGGAGTTAAAACTCGCCTCTTTCGAGATCTTGGGGAAAGAGTTCCAGGCCCTGGCGGAGGAGTACGGCAGGTTACGACGAGAGATTGAAATGAAAAACTGGGCCCTGAAAGAGTTCACTCAGTTCAGCAACAAGTGAACGTTTGTAGAAGAAGTTCAGCTCTTAAATATTTGAGAAATGATGTTTAACCGTTTGTTTTTGTTTTATTAATGTCAAAGTTCTAGTTTTGTTTCTGGTTCATGTGACGTTAGATTCTTTACGCTGAAATGGAGAACAAATTATCGCAGTATTTGTCAGAGGTGGGGACTTAAAAATCGTGACTTGGACTCGAGTCGGACTTGAGTCACTGTTTTTAAGACTTGAGACTTGACTTGATAAAATGGACTAAGACTTGGGACTCAACTTGGACTTGAAGATCAGTGACTTTGGTCTTGACTTGGACTTGAGCCCTGTGACTTGACAAGACTTTGAAGATAATGTTTTTATAAAATACTTTTCTCTTTCCAGTTGTTGTTGAATTTTACAGGAACAAACTTTCACATGTTTGTCCAACTTCTCTATTTGTCACTTTCGATGGAACTGAAGTACTCTGATACTCAAATGTACTGCAGTAATATAAAGTACAACACAGTAAAACAGAGGGAACTACACAAAGAACACAATACTTCCATTTCAGTGCAAACTACAAGATAAAATAACGGTTATTAAGCACTTTTAAATCTGAATCTTTCTGTTCTGACCGTAATAATTCACACTAACATCTTGTCAAGACGTTTAAAAAGGAAAAAAATGTTATTATTAAGCATTTCTACAACACTTATATAAATATACCATGACTTTTTAAGAACAGTTTAGTTTAAAAATTCATATAAATTGCAAAAATCAAAGCTATATTTGTTACTTTTTTGGTTTAAAGACTTGAAATGACTTGAAGCTCAAAGCAGACGACTTGGACTTGACTTGGACTTATGGGACAGTGACTCGAGACTCGACTTGGACTTGCCTGTGGGTCAGTCCGTATGAAATCAGCCGTTTTCAAGGAATCTCCCCTATGAGCCGTCTCAGATTTGGCTGAAAAAAATTCAAAAAAATTTCTAAAATCACCAAATGAAAGAATCTCAAATTTTAGCTCAGTCCCTTGAGTCGTTCCTGAGTTATGGCCCGTTGATTCAAGAAAAGAGAGTCATTTTCAAAAATTCCGTTTGAAATGAAGGAAGTTAATAGTAGATGTTTTTATTACTTTGGCATATTCTGATTAGTTTAAAGTTTCTCTGGTAAAAAATTTATCAACATCTAACTGTGCCACATGGGGAACCGAGGCTCCAAAGAAGGGACCAAAAAGATCACATTTGTTCTGTGACCATATTTGAGACTCTACACCGTCCACATGAAAACTCAGAAAAGTGTGAGATTTGTGTCAGAAATGTTCATTCTCTCAAATATTCAGGTTCAACTGTTAGTTTGTAAATATCTGCTTGGAGTAAATAGATCTTGGACCTCAAAAATTGAAAAAAAAAAATTGAGCGGCAACAAAAAGTGAGATTTTGGAGGCCCACAGCGCCCCCCTTAATAAAAATACACAATATTTGACAACAGATTCAGAATCTATGACCTAAAAATCTACAATAATTCACATTTTCATCTTTCTAACTCTATTTTTTATGAAGTTATGGTCTCTCAAACATGATTATAAATTAAGGTGTCAGAAAACGTGAACATGGCCCCAAAATTTCACCGGGCCATAACTCAGGAACGACTCCAGTGATTGAGCTAAAATTTGAGATTCTTTCATTTGGTGATTTTAGACATTTTTAGAATTTTTTTCAGCCAAATCTGAGACGGCTCATAGGGGAGGGCGGCTGATTTCATACGGACTGACCCCTGGATTTGACTTAGACTTGAGGTCAAAGACTTGAGACAAACAACGACTTGGTCCAGCCTCTGGTATTTGCAGTGAATAATTTTGATTTAAAAGTGTTATTCAATTTTATGAGTTTGATTGTTGAACTAAAAATGCAATATTGTGGACAAATCTCTTAAATTAACAAATCAGCTGTAATCACTTTGTAAAACCACAAGATGGCGGTATAATGCCAAACTAAACATGTACAATTCTGTCTTTTTTTACGCTTCCTCTATTATAAAAGTACAAATTGTAAACTAATGAATAAAATATTTGTCATAAGAACTATAATGTTGATCTTTTTATAATGTTATATTTTTATATTTCGGGGTTTCAGATGCATCACTTCATTTTTTGGACCAATATTGTTTAATTCAGATGGGGGAGAAGCTAAAATTAAAATGGATCCAGTGCAGGTTTTTATGGAATATAAAATTGTCTTGGGTCTAGTCAATAATTAAAATGCTCAGGTTTAATGTTTAGGAATTTATGTTTTTAATATTTCACGACAAATTACATTGAAATCAAAAAAAGAAAAAAGGTTCTTGCCCCCTATGTAGAAGTAAAAATCTGAAAACCACCAATTAATTTGTATTTCCGCGTTGTTCACATTCAGGGATGTGCCACATGTCAGCATCATCACTGAGGATCTTTGTTAAGCACCTTTCAGTCTTTCGAAATGATCAATTTGTGGCACGTTTTTAAACATAAAGAAACTTACAGAGCACAGACACTGCCCACTCTAAAATATCACGTTTTAAACCGCGTGGATGTAATTTTAAAATTATAAAAATGAGCGGATGATAACACAGGAGCGGCGCCTCTGTCCGCATCATCTCTGCGCTCGCATCAGCACGAATATACAACTGTAGATGTCGCTCTGAAGATCGCTCTTTGTTGGAGCGGATGCGTCAATAAAGCCGCCATCTTGGTACTGGTTAACGCTGTTTTAAATGAATGAACGTCAATCAAGGATGAGGTGAGATCAGAGTTTCCCACAGACCAAGAAGGTCAGGTCAGATTTTACCTGTGAAATGTTCTGTCGTGCTCTTGTTCTTCTTATTCCGCTCATTCGTATGTGGCGCAAAAGTTGGGGCCACATGAGAAACAAAAAATACTGTGGAGGGCCGGGTCAAAATGCTGTAACTCAATTCTACACTGTAAATTCGACCCAATTAAGCAATAATTTTTTTTTAAATTGAGGTAAATGGTTGCCTAACTTAAAAAAAAAAAAAAAAAAAAAAAAAAAGTTTATTGTCTTTTTGTTTTTAATTAATGTAAATTTAAAAAAATTAGTAAGTATCACACAAAATAAATAAATAAATTATAATAATCAATAAATAAGCAATTAATTTAATTATTTGTTATAATAGTATTAATAATTATGTTTATTTATTAAATTATTTAATTTTTTTTATATTTTATTAAGGGCATTTTAAAAATTAATTTGTAAATATATTAATTAATTTACAGTAATTTAAAAAGTAGGACTACAAAAACATTAATTGTATTTATTTTTAAAAAGCAATAAAGAGCATTGTTTTGGGTTGTTAAGCAATGCAGCTTTAGTCCATGCATGAGGCAAAATTATAAAATATGTTTATTTTGTAATTCCAAATGATCTTAAACGGGCCAGTCAGAGTCAACCAAAGGGGCTGTATGGTGCTGTACAATGCCCAGGTCTTGGTTAATACTATTACTACTACTACTACTACTACTACTACTACTACTACTAATACTAATAATAATAATAATAATGCATCAGTTTTATATAGCACTTTTCTGGACACTCAAATATGCTCCACATACGCCAAGGGATTTATGAATTCTTTGTATTGTGGATAATAAGTTAAATTTAATTAATTACCATTGTCAAGGTACCATTTTGATGCCTAACTTGGTGCACCAATTAATGGATAATGGTTCCCCGTCTAAGGCTTACCATTGCTCTTATATTTACTCAGTTTCCTTGTGGCTGCTGAAATGTGTAGCTCTCTGGCATTTTTTGTTTTGTAAAGATAATAACTCACTGGAGAACTGGACTTTACATCGATGCATCAACAATCCCATCTGCACTTTATACTGTATGTACCTTTGATGTTTTGTCCTGTCGTTATGTTTTCTGTAATAATAATAATAATAATAATAATAATACTACTACTACTACTAGTACTACTACTACTACTAATAATAATAATAATAATAATAATGATACTACTACTACTACTATACTACTACTACTACTACTACTACTACTACTACTAATAATAATATAATAATAATAACGCTACTACTACTACTACCACTAATAATAATAATAATAATAATAATAATAATAATAAAAAGCTCACTGGAGAAAAAAGGTTAAGAAGTTAAGAACCCAACTCCCGTACCAAAATGGCGGCAGTATTAACACGTACCAAGCAACGCGACATCTATCGTTTTATATCTGCACCATCATCACCATCATCATCCTTTCCCCGCCCCCCGCCTCAGACCCCGCCCTCCCCTCGTGCGTGCAGCTCGCGCACCCCTGCCTCCTCCTCCACCTCCACCTCCTCCTGCGAGCGCGAGCCTCCAGCCTCCACCGCTGCACGCGCGCCGCATCTGGACTCGCGTCTCGTTGTCCTCATGCTCCTCATGCGCCTCATGCGCCGCACCGACACGCCGACTCACCGGGCCGCACCACGCACCGCGCCGCTTTGGATCCACTCACCCGGGGCCAGCACGCCATGTCGGAGGTCCGCAAATTCACCAAGAGGCTGAGCAAACCGGGCACCGCGGCCGAGCTGCGGCAGAGCGTCTCCGAGGCTGTGAGAAGCACCGTGGAGCTGGTGGTAAGCAACGCAAACCCCCACGTAGAACCTCGTTTTCAAGTCACTTCCTCACGTTTTGCTTTTTATTTCACTCTTTTCTCAACTCATTGTAACATTTCTCCACTTTTTACCACCACACTTCCTCTATTTTTATCTCTACACCGCTTTATTTACGTTTATTTCCACATTTAATCACATTTTTATCACATTTCTCCACCGTTCTAACTTCACATCCCTCACATTGTTTCCTAAAATGCTGTAATTGAGTTGTGCATTTCGCTAATTACACGGTACTAAACGCTCTGTAACTGCACTACCCCGTTTGCTTTCCTGTGTTTTTTTTTTTGTTGTTTGTTTTTTGTTTTTTATTCCTTGATGGTTCTGAGAGATCTGCAGCCTCCTCCTGGTCCTTTTGTGTGCGGAGCCGGAGCCAGAGCCGGAGCCGGAGCCGGGACAGGAGCGGTGCCAGGCGGACAGCTGCATGGGGGGGAACATGCATGCCTCCCTTGTCCTCCCGCATGCTCCTTTAATTCCCTCCAAAATGGCTCCACTGTGCGATGATAAAAAATGCGTTTGTGGTGTAATCGGGGTAATTAATTCATAAAGAAACGCTGAAAAGTCCGTGGATCTGTCGGCGTGTTTTCGGGATTAGACCGCATCAGAAACAGGGATTAGACGCAGTGGATTATGCTCTGGACGTGCTGATGCAGCGTTTTGGGAGAATGTTTCGGACTTCCGGTCATCGCGCAATCCGCCGAAAAAGTGAGCATCAAACCGCCGTGTTTTGTTTTCCCAGTGGGATGTGTCTATCGTCAAAGTCGATCTTTTCAAGTCTTTTGAACGATATCGCTTTTGTTTCTAGTTCTGATATTGTCATGATTTAGTTTTGGGATTCCGGACATCGTAATTGTGCGGTTGTTCGATGTCCTAAAAGCGGAAAACTACGGAAGTCGAGAGGGGTCGCAACAAACACAAACGCCGCAATAAATACAAATGCAACGACACAACAAAAAGCCACAACAAACCAAAAAAAGCCACAACGGAAATGACCGCGGGACTCTATTTTCATGCAAACGCAGCAACAAATACAAATGCCACAACACATTAAAAAGCCACAACACATCAAAAAGCCACAGCGGAAGTGACCGCGGGACTCTATTTTCCAATCAAGCGGCAAGTGAAGAAGAAGAACTACAACGTGAAAAATAAAGGAACGGAGAAGTTGGAAACGTAAGTAAAAGTAATTTATTGTTTTGTCATTATTCGTTTCACGTTGTAGTTCTTCTTCTTCACTTGCCGCTCGATCGGTCCGTCGGAAAATAGATCCCGCGGTCACTTCCGCTGTGGCTTTTTAATGTGTTGTGGCTTTTTAACGTGTTGTGGCTTTTTAATGTGTTGTGGCATTTGCGTTTGTGTTGTGGCGTTTGTATTTGTTGCGGCGTTTGCATTAAAATAGAGTCCCGCGGTCACTTTCGTTGTGGCTTTTTTTGGTTTGTTGTGGCTTTTTGTTGTGTTGTCTCGTTTGTATTTGTTGCGGCATTTGCGTTTGTTGTGACCCCTCTCGGCTTCCGTAGAACGGCTCGAGAAACGGGCTTCGGAAGTTTGCAAACTCCATAAATGCAAAAGTGAATCAGATGTGTGTGACTGCAAACCTCCGTTCAAACTGTTTCTCTTCCCAACAGAATTGAAAAATAGTGAAAGGTGAAGGTGACGGGCAGGACTGATCCACAGGAAGAACCAAAAAGGAAACTTTTGACTGACTAAGAAATCATCCCGAGTTTACAGTGAACATTTTGTATGTGGAAACAAAACAAAATCCCGTTTGTTAAGGCCGAGCTTGCACTTTCTTGTTCTTGTGGTTTTACAGCAACATCACGTCTTGGTCTCTTTGCAGTGGAAGGTGTTTCTTGGTGAACAGTTGGTGTCTTTCGCTTTGACGTTGACTTTTTAAATTTGTAACCAAGGTTGAGCGACGGATCAGGATTTTGCAAGTGGTTCTAGCTGTGGTTTGACTCCGGTTTGTTTAAACTGTTTTCTGCAATAGTGTCACATGACTGATGTCGCGAACCAAGTGAATCACAGTGACGTGGTCCAGTAAGGACGCGATTTGAGCTCCTACGTCAGAGTATCAGTGTTTTCAGGCGTCCACACGGTGCCGGATCAGATCTGTACTCGGATGAATTCGTGGGAGCTGACGGCACCAGATTGTTCCGTCTCTGGAGCCTTTTTCCATCAGATTAGTGTGAACGAACACTGCACCCACAACGAAAACAACTCAAATACGAACTAATGTGGACGGGGTCAAAGAAGCCATACCGGCTTGTCAAAGTCTGATCTAGTCAGATCTCAGAAGCTCAGCAGGGCCAGTGTCCTGTCAATTTGAGCTCCTGAGGCAGAAGTGGAGTACCGTATTTTATGGGCTATTAGTCGCTCTGGATTATAAGACGCACTGTCATTAAATGGTCTATTTTCAAACTTTTTTCACAAATAAACCGTGAGACTTTAAATGAAATCCAACAGTGTGATGGGTGAGTGGTTTTGTTTGTTTTTGTTCGTTCACGGTGACTCTGGGCTTTGTTCAGTTGTGGCGTGTAGGGAGGGTGTGTCTGGGACCAACGGATTGTCGGCGTGTTCGCAGTGACTCAGTTGTTCAGTCGTGTCTAGAAGCGGCACGTCTCACACTTTTTTGGTTCGTTCCTCCGTTCCGTTCCTCGTCGGCGTGGAGCGATGAGTGTGTCTGTGGGTGTGTTTCGTTGTGCGGTCGCTGTCTGCTCCGTGTGTGTTTGCGGCTTTGTAGTTTACTGAAGTCGTACTGGGACACCCGAGTGGATTCGTGTATGGGGCGCTCTGGATTGCGGGGAGCGGTCATTTTTTGATGCGGTTAGAGGATTAAGAGTGCGTCTAATCGCGCGGAAAGTACGGTAACTTGAACTCATGAAACTGTGATAGAATAAGAAGTATGTACATAGTTGTGAGAGGAACAGGGTTGCGATGTTGTGTACATTTTGATGTTATGATTAGACTGACGAGAATTTCAAAATTTTAAAAAATGTTCTCGGTTTGTGGTGGTTGGTAATAATAAAATGGTGAAAGGAGTGCATAAAGAAAACTGTTCTGTTCTCTGTGAGTCAGTATAGTCACATTTTCTTTGTGTTTTGTCATGACTTTTCCAGGATTTCCATGACCGTGGGAACCCTGTACATCAGGGGTGCTCACACTTTTTCAGCATGCAAGCTACTTACAAAATGACCAAGTCAAAATGATCGACCTAATACAAAGCCAAGCAAACTGCACTGAAACACTCTGTGCCCCTGTTTTGGACCCTCCCCCACAGTTTGAGAACCTCTTCTTTAAGAGAACTTCCTCTGGCACTTTACACAAAACTGTGAAAAAAAGTGAAGGAAGATTTTTAAACCTGTTTTTTAAAGTTCCAAACTGGAGTTTCATTCTTTTCTGGTTTTGCAGTGATATTTACCAGCCTCTGCACGTTTACCAAACCAAACGCACATCGTGACAAACACAGATGCATTTGTCACTTTTGTTAGACAAACTTCAGCCATATGTGGCAGTAGGTCTGTTCTGTAGATCCGCTCTATGCTGTAGACCTGCTTTGTGCCAACACTGGAACACAAATTTAGACTGGTTTTTGCTTCACGTTTGGTCTTGCTCTTCTAATCAGCCGCACTGTGGGAGGGGCTTGTGTTGGCTGTACGCAGGAAGGAGCGAGAGCGTGAAAAGGCGAGGGGCGGCGTGCTGACGTGAGGCAGATGGACAGGTAGGATGTTTAGGAAGTTGAACCTGCCCTGTGATGCAGGCTGGTACACGAGGGCACACGCTGTCGCAGACGAGCCGTGCGTAGGGAGCGTGTGTGTTTGTGATGCGCCGTAGAGTCTCCGCGGGTTTCAAATGAGCGCACAGGCTGCACTGAGACGCCCCACACGCTCCTGCACCCGCTACAAGTTTATTACCAACAGCAGCGGCCGGAATGAAATATGATCACACTTGTTGAGTGTCAGACCTCGAGTGAGAGACAAGACCGAGTCCAAACACGAGTCCGAGACGAGACACGGAGATCTACCCACACGACCTTGGCAATCGACTGGTAGATCACGATCGACGTATTGCGCACCCCTGCTGTACATCAATACAGCAGCTCATGATATCAAAACTATATCATCACATTAAACGATACAATATTTTGATGTTTGTACACTCCTATTTACGATTCAATGACCCTTTAAATTCTCTGTAACTCTCATTGACTCTTGTCGTGACGTCACAGTGTCTGAGTTTGTGTTGGAGGAGCTTCAGAGTCAGAGCAGTTTCTCCCCTCGGGCTTCAGTCGGTCTCATGATGATCACCTCCACACTGTGACGCATCAGGGTTTTCCACAGCGCAGGGACGGAGGGAAGTGTGCAGGGCTCTGGATTAGACCCACGTGGAGCTGTGGTGGTCTTCATGAAGGAGAGAGAGAGGAGGAAAGGAGGAAAGAGAGGGGGGAGAGGAAATGTCAGAACAAGTGTTGTGTTGTTGAGATGTCGCGGTCTCACAGACGGGGATTCCCTCAGGCCAAGAATCTAATAATGTGGACTCTAAACTTAGTCTCGTCTGTTTTTCAATGAAGATTTGCAAGTAATTCACCGATTCAAAGCAACGATGGGTAATATCAAAATATCAATGCATCGTGTCGTTTAATGTGATGATACAGTATCAATATCGTGGGCTGCTGTGTTGATATATCGCCAAGAGTATTTTTTGGTAAATTTTACTTAATTATTTTGTTTCAGCTACAGTTTGATGATTAAAATGTTTGTGTTTAATATGAACTTTGCACAGGAAATGGTTTAACAAAGACTTTTAATATCACAGCCATGATTTAGCCATTCATTTTTATTGAACTATATCGAACCGAATCAAAATATATCGAATCGAAAATTCACTATATCGAGATATGTATCGTATCGTGGCCTATGTATCGTATTGGCAACTTCTTAATGATACCCGACCCTAATAATTAAGGT